TAACACAGGGAAGTGAGGAGAGACTAAATGATGAGGAGGCGTTGTTCACAAATTTAATCGCGAGAGTGATTGCGGAGGAAAGTCTAAAGGGGGTAATATCATGATTAATAGTGAAGTGATGACGGGAGGTGACGAGATATTTAACATGGATGGTGAAATAAAAGTTGATGATGATGAGTGTACAAATAATAGGTGTGAATTATTTTCAATTTATTTTAGCCTGGGTCAGCATTCTGTATTGTTCACTATTTTACTCCACTAATACGTTTCTCGTGTCTTCCCCTTACCGAGTACAGCGTTATGGGTGTTATCAGGGATACCTTTGAGTCGTATTCTAGTTCTTACTTGTCGTAATCTGGTTTGGCTTGGTTTACATGCAGAGGAAACTAGCAGATAGATCTAGCTTACTCTCTTCTATTTCATCATCCTCAAGTTTATTTTACATCGTGTATCTCATTCACTTCCACCTTACTGTATACGGGTATACTGTACGTGCTTTTTAACCTAACTTAACCCAAATTCCATAAATTATATCACGATTTTAAATAACATTTTACCATGTTGTAAAAGTAAATATATTGGCACTAATTATCATTATCGTTATCAATTTATTATGAATCCTCATTTCTATTATAAGACAAAGTCTTGGAAACTCATTTTTTTTTTTCATAAATTTACCAAAGAAGTGAACACTGATTACACCCCCCTCTCCCCTGACTTCTTCAGGTCACTCTAGCTGGAGTCTAGAGCAAATACTTTCATAGAACCTTACCAGACGCCACTACCGGTACCGTCTCAAGCGGACGTTCATGTTAACGCTGCCATACACACCTAGTCACAATAACTCACACCCAGACCAGTCTCCAAATACCTTTTTATGTAAGAACGTAGTTAAATTTTTTTACTTGTTTATGGTTTTAACCCCTAAAGTGTGTATGTATGTGTGTGGGTGGGGTAGGTATAAGTGACCTGGCAGTGGCAAGAGCGGTGAAAGGTCCTCCTGAAGAACTACCTTTTCAGCTTTTAATGAATGTGTAGTCATTACAGGGTGAGGGTCACAGGAGGGTCACTGATGTTCCTAGATGACCTCTTTAATACATATATTTTTTTGTATAGTCCAGAACTATTCACGAACAGTAATAGAACTGGGTGAATTAAATCGACGTCAAGTTAACCCAGAAATTCTTGGCGCTAGGAGAAGAGAAGAGGAGAGGAGAGGAGAAAAGAGACCGGTGTAGGACTTCGTGAGGACGTTTTCAGGAGGTGAGTCTGACTGTACAGAACAATCCGAGAGTGTGTACTTAACTCTTGGTGGATTAAATCTCCAGGGAAATAACAAGGTAGACGGTCGGCCTCAACACAATTTTAAAAAAAATTAGAAAATGTGTTAACCGAGGTTGTATGTATGTATGTATGTATGTATGTATGTATGTATCGGCGACCTGTGGTGTAATGGTTAGCATGCTCGCCTCGTAAACCAGCGGACCTAGGTTCGATCTCAGGCAGGGTTAAACTATGGGCAAGTTATTTTACACCGTTTGCCTCTGTCTACCCAACAGTAATTGAGTACGGATCGTGTTCAGGGGTAATGGTTAGCCAGTGCACTTGGCCAGTTTGACAACCCTACCGAAACAACAGGACTCGCAGTGTTCGTTTTGACATCCATCGCACCCCAACTTGCAGATATTTTCTGTAGCGAGTGTACAGTATGTATTGTTAGGAATCACCTTTACTTGGTAAAGCATGTTTGGAACAGATTCAGTATACCGTTAATGTTTCATGTTCACGGTACAGGTGCCATGTCTTGCTTTAGGATTTATTATATTATGTACTATAGTAAGATAAGCTTCATGATTTGTTCTGTGTATTACTCTAGTGTAAGTCTCATTACTTGTTCTTTGTATATTTACTATGTATTATTGTAGGTATTATACTTTTTATATGTATTGTTTCATGGCCTGTTCCATGTATCTTTATATTGCTCTATGTACTCTTATTTTGGATGGTGAACTTATTATGATGTATTTAGGGTAATATTAATAGTTGTATGGGTTCATTAAGCTTCATTATGGTTACGGGTACATGTTGGGAATACTGGGCATCCCGATTTTCATTTTTTTTTTTTTTTTTGCGCCGTCGAGGTAAAGACCCACGGAACAGATGGTCCAGACTTTCCCTTTAACTTCGGAATCCTTACACTACCTTCTGACTTCTAACTTGTGTGATCCTACGTTTATGTACGTGGAGGTTCTGGATACGACTATGTACGCGGTAAGAGTGGTGTTTACCATTTAGTGTAAGAATTTTCCCTAGGGTACGCTGGTAGAAGTGTTTTAGTTGCTCTGACTAATTTCATATTGCATTCTTTCTTGTGCAGTGCATAATAGATTTTAAAGTTTTGTTTCTATTAACACTACACCATCTTTTAATAAACTTTGTCCTATTAATTTAATCTTAATTTAAATTGCGAATAACTACAAGAATATCCATATGGTCATTTAATACAGAGATTTCAGGAGAAATTGTTGCATGAGTGTTAGGTCACTGTCCCAGTGCTAGAACTATGGTTATAATTAGGAGGGGGCCACTAGTATTTTCTGAAATTTCAATGTTTAGGAGTTCTTTAAGTATTTCAGGGGAAAATCATCGTAACAGTATGCATGTATGCATTGCGTCGAGATCAGCTTTCAAGGACGACAGTCCAGTCAAATTGGATCCATTTCCACTCATATTTATGTCTCGTTTCCGGTTGACTATTCTAAACCACCACAAATGATTGTTTGACAAGCGACTTGCAGTAAATAGTTACACCAGTCCTCAAGCGGTGAAAATCCCTTACAATCAATGATCACGCTAATCCGACCTCCGCCTACTCTTGCTGGCTTTTCATTCAGTTAACTTATAGTCGCACGTACAGTAGATCTGGTCGCAGGTTCAGCCGACATCAGGCAGATAAGTTGTGTTGATTCTTTTGTTATAGAAATTTATTTGCTTAACCCGAAACAGATTCCATTTATAATATCATATGCTTGTTATAATTATCTCACTTACTAACTGCCATGTGCTATTTTATCTTAATATAGATTTAAAACGTTAAAGGAATTGGTATAATTCATGTACATCGATTGAGAATCTTGCCTACTACAAAAAGGTGCTCATGACATTCAGTCCCCAAGATGACAGTCCTTAAAACTCAAGAATTTAGGCAAGACTATCAGTAACATAGCAGTATATATGTGTGGCTCGATGGATGGATGAAAATTTCTGTTGTGACTTTAATGTGGGCTGCACTTCAACACACACGTCGCAAGAAGCAACATGAGAAAGAATACCCTATATTACACCACATTCATGGGTATTATGAAACTCGGGGATATTTTCAACTCTCCTGTGCAACAGACAATGTTTCACCCGCGTTTCTGACCCCTTCCTTTCCTAAGCTCCCCAAGCACCTCTCGAATACGAGGTCTGTCCAAAAAGAAACCGAACTTTTTATATAGCGCGCCAACGAGCCGGCGCAGCGTGCTCGCAACGGGAGCACTGTGTAACGGTGACCTTGACCTTTAGTCTAACACTAGCCGCATCACGCCACGTCAATTAGTCATCGAGCTACATGTGCTAGAGTGAACGTGTCTTTAGTGCACTTGGAGATTTGTTGTAAGTTGAACAATGAAGGATCTTAAAGAGCAACGTGCTTGCGTGAAATTCTATTTGAAATTGGGAAAAACTTTTAAGGAGACTTTCAAATGCTGCAACAGGCTTATGGGGGGATTGTTTGAGCCGTACGCAATGCCACGTGTGGTACCAGCGTTTCAAAAGGGGAAGAACATCCACTGAAGACGATCCCAAATCTGGACGTCAGAGTCGCTCAAATTTAGAGGTGATGTTGATCGTCTTTTTTGATTGGAAGGGCGTCGTTCATCATGAGTTTGTTCCACGTGGCCAGACAGTCAATAAAGAGTTTTACTTGGAGGTCCTGAAGCGTTTGAGGGAGGCAGTGCGAAGGAAGAGGCCTGAGGCGTGGACAAACAAGACATGGATGCTGCACCATGACAATGCACCTGCTCACGCGTCGCTCCTTATCCATGACTTTTTGGCGAAGCACGAGACGACTATCGTCCCCCAGCTGCCCTACTCTCCGGATTTGGCCCCTGCGGACTTTTTTGGGTTCCCAAAGTTGAAATCCACCTTGAAAGGTCGCCGATTTCAAACGATAGAAGAGATAGAGGAAAATTCGCTACGAGACCTACACACCATCCCTCAAAACGCGTTCTAGGACGCGTTCAAAAACTGTAAAAAAACGTTGAGAGCGGTGTATCAACAGTGGAGGGGAGTACTTTGAAGGAGACAAGTCTGATTAAGTTGTAAGTAAAGCAATATTTTTTTTTAAAGTTCTTTTTTTTTGGACAGACCTCGTATGTGTGCCAGGCTTTTCTCATTAACGCAGATTATAAATATAACTTAACGATGGAGATGTTGTTTTACCGAGTGTCACGGTTTACCACTCCCCCACAAGGTACAACTCCATTTAGTGCCCGGATCTACAATACGTTACCGTGGCATGGTGTGGGGGCTCGAATGAACCATTGCCATATACCTGGGATGGGTATAAAGATCCCATCTTGTAACCTCAAATGAAGGGGTTGAAAATAGACCGTCGCTAAACACGCAAATTTAATTCTCCACAGGTGATGGGTTGGTTCTTTATCAGAGAGAGGTTTGAACACCTCTATATACCGTAGCTGATTCCCAACTTCTTCTTTTCCTTTTAATTATTCCTCTAATGAGAAAAGGTTTGGGGGCATTCATTCTCATTAACTTCATCTCTTTGCACTTGAACAGCCATTGACAGAAACAATAAACGATTTTCGGGCGTTATTGTTGGATTACAATCACCTAAAGCTCCAACCCCATTGCCTCCTGTGCTTGCGGGCAGTGTGCCGCCGATAGCTAGCAAGTACTGTCCGAGCTAAACAAAGCCATGGGCATTAAATGCGACTATGGGAATATTAAGAATGAACAAGGACAAAATCAAAATCGGAACATGGATTGTGAGGGCATTATATGAGGCTGGTAAGTATGCCAATGTTTGAAGGGAAATTAAAGATTGCAGTGGGACATTATGGGATTAAGTGAAGTAAGATGGACAGGTTCAAATAGAATTTGTGGTAGAGATTTTTACTTCATATATTCAGGCGGTGAAAAGCATGAGAAATGTTATTGATATTGATATTAAAACATTTTATTTCGACAGAAAATTACAGATTTAATGTGGATAATAATAACAATATTGACATGTGTCGCGATCCCACTACCCTTAATACTTGGGGAGTAAATCCTACCCCAAGTTATTAACAAATAAAGGTACAATTAGGGAACACGGCAATAATTATCTCCACCAAAAACCTACTCAACTAAATGTACTTGAAAAAGTAAGAACAGTTGAAATAAGTGAATCACAAAAGGGAAGATAATTAATTAATTCGATTTATGTTTTAAAGGGAGTAATGATTAGCAAACATGAATTTAAGGGAATAAGTAATTGTATAATAAAATAAGAGTGATGCCGGAAGGGCAAAAATATGCTGTAAGGAGTTAGACCAAACAAATATTACTTAACATTACTATATTACACAAGACATACGAAATATATATATACAACAATCAATACAAAATGATTATCCCTACCAAACAGGAGATTCCTTACCACCAGGATCCCTTCCTAGGCCTAACTAAACGTGTCACTAATACCTGATACCCCTAGGGCATTGCAGAAAACTTGATAAAGCACTAGACAAGGGTCAAGGCTAGAGAACGAATAGACACGTCTAACCTACGCCACGGATTTTTGCTACTGGGGAAGCGTGGGTACGCCGCTGAGAGTGCGTCTCATAATCACGTGATCTAGACATTTGCTGGATATTTTATATAATTAATTAATATTACTCTTGAGTTGACTTAACAGAGTAAGACAATGATGCATATAAATTACATACATAAATATACAATTAACCTAAGTAACTAAGAACAATAATAATATAATAAGTACAATTAACAAATTATTAGTAGCTTGTGTGAAATGGAAGCGTGAACAGATGCCTCAAGCTATGCGAGATCCCGAGCGCCCAGGCTCGTGACACCTCCCCCAAAAAAGTGAGCTTACAACTAACTGGAAGCGAAAATGGATATACAGCTACACAGTGAAAGTAATAACTAACACAATCAGTTTAAATCAATATGAAGCAAAATAATTCATAATATAAACACAAGGTACTCAATGACAATAAAACAAAAAATAATTTGCATATAGACATAGTTTCTAAATAATCAGACTGGAGAAAGTGCATCAGCCAACACGTTCTCTTTTCCGCGGATATGGGAAATGTTCAAGTTATAGGGCTGAAGTGATAGAGCCCACCTCAAAAGTCTTTGGTTGGTATGTTTCATCTTGTCAACAAAAGTAAGTGGGTTATGATCAGTGAACACTTGAATGGGATAAGCAGTGCTGCCAATATATACTTTGAAGTTTTCTAGTGCCATGATCAGTGATAAAGCCTCCTTTTCAATGGTGGCATAGTTTCTTTGATATTTGTTAAATTTTTTAGAAAAATAGCACAGCGGATGAAGCACGTGATCACTCTCACCCTCTTGCAGAAGCACAGCACCGGCGCCAATTTCACTGGCGTCGACATGGAGAGTGAACTGTTCCTGGAGGTCAGGTGCAAGTAGTACAGGAGCATTTGCCAGCAGGGATTTAAGATTCTCAAAAGATTCCTGGCAAGCCGTAGTCCACTTGAAGGTTTTCTTGCCACTCAGCAGGTCAGTCATGGGAGAGGCAACGGAGGAGAAGTTTGGACAAAAACGGCGGTAGTACCCCGCCATACCCAGCAACCTCATCACACTCTTCTTATCGCCTGGCACTGGATACTGTTGAATTGCCTCAATTTTGGCTGCTATAGGCTGGACTTCCCCTTGTCCGACCACATGCCCCAAGAAAGTGACGTGGGCATGGCCGAACTCAGTTTTGACGAGGTTCACTGTCAGCTTGCTTGCAGCCAGTACGGAGAAGAGGGCTTGTAAACGACTCATGTGATCTTCCCAGGAACTGCTGAAGACGATAAGGTCGTCTAGGTAACAGCGGACACCTTCCAGACCAGACGTGATGAAATTCATGAGGCGTTGAAAGGTTGCAGGGGCGTTCCGCATACCAAACGGAAGGACTGTGAATTGGTACAACCCCTCAGGAGTGACAAAAGCAGAGATGGCCCTGGAGCGTTCAGTCAGTCTTATCTGGTAGTAGCCCTGGAGGAGATCCAATTTGGTCACGTACCTTGCCTGTCCAAGATCGTCGATCACATTGTCGATGCGTGGCAAGGGATAACCATCGGGTTCAGTGACGGCATTCACCTTGCGGTAATCCACACACAGCCGCATTGACCCATTCGGCTTTGGAACTAGAACAACAGGGGATGCCCATGGACTGATGCTGGGTTCGACGAGGCCTAGCTCTTGAAGACGCTGTACCTCGGCTCGCACACACTCCCGCTTGAAGGCATTAAGACGGTAGGGACGCTGTCGGATTGGCTTGGCTCCCCTGGTCTCAACGTCATGCTCCAGCACTGAGCAAGAGAGTGGGTAATCACCAACTATAATAAGATACTCCTGTAATAGAGACTTTATATTATTGGCTTGGTCACTAGAGAGATGGCACAACTTAGCACTGGGGTCCTCCAAGACAGTCGAGTTTTCAACTTTTACACTAGACCCATTCATTATTTCAGAAAAACACTGATCTTTATCATCCTTACACTCTGGCACAATGATACAATTTGGCAAGGATTGATCAACACAAGCAACTGCTTTTCCCAGGGTTTCGTTACGAACATGATATGACTTTAAAAGATTGACATGGATAAGGCGTTTTTTCTTACGCCGTTCAGGGGTGCTAATCACATAATTCACTGACCCCTGTTTTTCTAGTACTTCATATGGACCACTGTATTTGGATTTAAAAGGGTGATCATGTAAGGGCAGGAAGGCCAACACCTGCTCCCCCACTTGGAATTCTCTAGGTTTTGCCTGATGGGCCTTATCAAAATGCAGTTTCATTTTCACCTGAGCACACCTTAAGTTGGACTGGGCAAGTTCTACAGCCAGACGCAACTTCTCCTTGAATTGGACCACATATGAAGCTAAGGGCGTCGCGCTCTGATCACTCAACCAACACTCTTTTAACACCTTAAGAGGCCCTCGCGCCTCATGTCCATAGACGAGCTGGAAGGGCGAGAATCCTAGCGACTCTTGTTTACTGTCCCGAACAGCAAACCAAAGCAGGTCAACTCCCTCGTCCCAATCCTTCCCAGTCTCCAGACAGAAGGTGCGCAGCATGAGTTTTAGTGTCTGGTGAAACCTCTCTACCACCCCCTGTGACTGAGGGTGATAGGCCGAAGACCTCAACTGCCGGACTCCCAGGGTTTGCATTACCTGATTAAACAACCGGGAAGTAAAATTGGAACCCTGATCTGACTGCACCACTGTAGGAAGGCCTACTTGAGTGAAGAAGTGGGTTAAGGCTTTGATAACATTCTTCGCTGTGATGCGGCGCAAGGAATGGCTTCAGGATAACGGGTTGCACAATCAATAATGGTTAGCAAGAACTGATGACCACGAGGGGTCTTAGGTAAGGGACCGACACAATCTATGACCACCTTACTAAAGGGCTCTTCAATGACTGGGATAGGCTGCAGAGGGAATGGTTTAACACTGGGGTTCGGTTTCCCCGCTACCTGACAATCATGGCAAGTGCGACAGTAAGAGCTGACGTCTTTCTTCATCCTAGGCCAAAAGAACTGGGATAAAATTTTTGCATAAGTCTTCCTAACTCCTAAATGACCACCCACCCCATCATGAGCGATACTAAGTATGTCCTGCCGCAAAGGTTTGGGAATAACAACTTGATGATGAACTAACCAAGGGTGATTGGCAGGAGAATTGGAGGGACGGAACTGCCGCATTAATACACCAGACCTAGTGTAGTAGCAATTTGATTCTTGCTCAGCTTCTGTCTCAGTGACTGACCTATTGAGAAAACCTACTAGCTCAGGATCCCCTGCTTGTAGCTCAATAAACTTACTCCTAGTGATGGGAGAGGAACCAAAACTAGTGACATCTGGGTTCCTATCTCCATCAGAACTACTCTGGAGGTTACCTGGTTGTGGGGAATCCTCAAAAAATTCACTGAGACCAAGATCAGTATGTTCCGGCTGAACAAGATTATCCTCGGACTTCTCACAGTCCTGGAGGGAAACTTCATCAACTTCACTAGTCTCTTCTACCTCTGTACTGCGGCTCATGCTACGGGTCACAGCACACGCAGGGAACAACCCTGGAAAGTCTACTTCTAACTGCACAGTATTATTCTCGGCAGTGGGACAAGATGAGATCACAACATTAGGGAACATCATGTCACCAACGAGGTCATTTCCTATCAATAGAGAGACCCCTTCGACAGGTAAGCTATCTACTACTCCTAACGTGACATAGCCTGACCTTATGGATGACCGCAGGTACACTTGACAAAGGGGAATACGCGACCCACCGGTCAAACCGTTCACAAGCACCCAGCTACCAGTATAGCATGAATCCAGGAATGGAGCAGCTTCTTTAGTAACAAGAGATAAGGCTGAGCCTGTGTCTCTCAAGAGTTTAACAGAAATGGGTTGACTGAATTGATCCAAAGCTAAGGAACCAGGAGAACAAAATGGTTCAAAGGTTGATATCATAGAAGAGGGGGAAGGATTCAGGGCAACAGTCTGACTGAGGGCAGTGACACAGGGCTCCAATAATTTCTCCGATTGCTCGGCCACCCTGACCAAAAGAGCGGGGGATCCTTGGTGAGAGGAATTTCTTTTCTTTAACTTGAGACAGTCGCTGATGACATGTCCTGGCTTCTTACAGTACCTACAACTAGAGTTTCTCTCACCAGTAGGAGTGGATCCACCTGTCCCATGGACCATGGGCTCACCCGGGGTAGATGATGCAGAACCTGAGGGTCGGGTCGGTATGACAAGAGGCAGGGACCCCGATGTAGGTGTGTCACGCTGCCTGTAGCGTCGGGATCTCGCATAGCTTGAGGCATCTGTTCATCTTCTATTTCACACAAGCTATTAATAATTTGTTAATTGTACTTATTATATTATTATTGTTCTTAGTTACTTAGGTTAATTGTATATTGTAATGTAATTTATATGCATCATTGTCTTACTCTGTTAAGTCAACTCAAGAGTAATATTAATTAATTATATAAAATATCAGCAAATGTCTAGATCACGTGATTATGAGGCGCTCTCAGCGGCGTCCGCTTCCAGTGTGAAAATCCGGTAGATGGTTAGGCGTGTCTATTCGTTCTCTAGCCTTGACCCTTGTCTAGTGCTTTATCAAGTTTTCTGCAATGCCCTAGGGGTATCAGTATTAGTAACACGTTTAGTTAGGCCTAGGAAGAGATCCTGGTGGTAAGAATCTCCTGTTTGGTAGGGATAATCATTTTGTATTGATTGTTGTATATATATATTTCGTATGTCTTGTGTAATATAGTAATGTTAAGTAATATTTGTTTGGTCTAACTCCTTACAGCATATTTTTGCCCTTCGGCATCACTCTTATTTTATATACATTACTTATTCCTTAAATTCATGTTTGCTAGTCATTACTCCTTTAGAACATAAATTGAATTAATTAATTATCCTTTTGTGGTTCACTAATTACAACTGTTCTTACTTTTCAAGTACATTTAGTTGAGTAGGTTTTGGTGGAGATAATTATGCCGTGTTCCCTGTTTGTACCTTTATTTGTTAATAACTTGGGGTAGGATTCACTCCCCAAGTATAAAGGGTAGTGGGATCGCGACAAGCCTTAGTAAGCCCCTTCAGTACTTCGGCTGAAGGTGAAGCCAAAAAGCTTTCCAGGTCAAACATGTTGAACTCAAAATCGAGTAGCGAAAAAAAATAACCGTGGCAGCTAAGCTAACTAGCTAGCTAATTAATAATGTCAAAATGCAATAAATTGTGAAACACAGCAAGGGATTAACCAAACACCTGGTACACAAGATAAGGGTTAACTCACCAGTAGCTTAAGCAATAACAGGAGCAATATAAATGAACACTGTGAACACAGCAACTTGCATCCAAAAATACTTAGCGATGAAACAACACCTGGCGAGTAACAACACTTGATATGACGCAACAATGGTGGTTAGCTCCCGGACACAGGCCCCCACTTGTCGCGATCCCACTACCCTTAATACTTGGGGAGTGAATCCTACCCCAAGTTATTAACAAATAAAGGTACAATTAGGGAACACGGCAATAATTATCTCCACCAAAAACCTACTCAACTAAATGTACTTGAAAAAGTAAGAACAGTTGAAATAAGTGAATCACAAAAGGGAAGATAATTAATTAATTCGATTTATGTTTTAAAGGGAGTAATGATTAGCAAACATGAATTTAAGGGAATAAGTAATTGTATAATAAAATAAGAGTGATGCCGGAAGGGCAAAAATATGCTGTAAGGAGTTAGACCAAACAAATATTACTTAACATTACTATATTACACAAGACATACGAAATATATATATACAACAATCAATACAAAATGATTATCCCTACCAAACAGGAGATTCCTTACCACCAGGATCCCTTCCTAGGCCTAACTAAACGTGTCACTAATACCTGATACCCCTAGGGCATTGCAGAAAACTTGATAAAGCACTAGACAAGGGTCAAGGCTAGAGAACGAATAGACACGTCTAACCTACGCCACGGATTTTTGCTACTGGGGAAGCGTGGGTACGCCGCTGAGAGTGCGTCTCATAATCACGTGATCTAGACATTTGCTGGATATTTTATATAATTAATTAATATTACTCTTGAGTTGACTTAACAGAGTAAGACAATGATGCATATAAATTACATACATAAATATACAATTAACCTAAGTAACTAAGAACAATAATAATATAATAAGTACAATTAACAAATTATTAGTAGCTTGTGTGAAATGGAAGCGTGAACAGATGCCTCAAGCTATGCGAGATCCCGAGCGCTCAGGCATGTGACACTACCCACATTGCTCAGGAGGGAGCAGTATTACTAACCCCAGTTATCGACCCACCCCTTACATGGAGCCGTTAAGGATATCTCTGTAGAGAGAAGTACAACACCCTCCCTCCTCCTCTCCCAGGTCAACACTAACACCCTCCTCCTCTCCCCAGGTCAACACTAACACCTCCTCCTCTCCCCAGGTCAACACTAACACCCTCCTCCTCCCCAGGTCAACATTTCACCCTCCTCTCTCCCAGGTCAACACTTAACACCTCCTCCTCCCCGCAGGTCAACACTAACACCCACCTCCTCCCGCAGGTCAACACTAACACCCACCTCCTCCCGCAGGTCAACACTAACACCCTCCTCCTCCCGCAGACAGGTGTGTGTCGTCTTCGTCAGTTCAGCATCACCTCGCGGGGCGGAGTGGTGAACCGGGGCGACTCTCTCAGACCTCGTCGCTCTGCATCCAACACTTCCGTCACCTCAACCGTATCCTCGTGCAGCAGGGTACCCAGGTGAGGAGGCAGCAGGTCTTACTGTAACAAGAGGGAAGATTGTTTAAGGCTTTCTTTACTATCATAAGATACCCCAAAATTATGCCTGAAGTAGGTTGGGTTAGGTTAGGTTAGGCTAGGGTTGGTCTGGTTAGGTTAGATTAAGTTAGGTTAGGTTAGGTTGGGGTCATTTTACCAATCACCAAAGAATGATAAAGAGACAGCCGCTAACACTACTGACGCCTCTCTCCCCCAACAGCACAGGATCAGGACCGTCCACGCCAGGCTGCAGCAAGGTAGCCACTCCAACCTCCTCGCCACAGTATCGGGTGGTGATGCTGGGTGCTCTTGGCGTGGGCAAGTCCACCCTCATCACCCAGTTCATGACTTCAGAGTACATGTGTGCCTACGACGATTCCCCAGGTAAGTCATAAGAGGTCAGGTGACTCCTCAGGTTAGTCATAAGAGGTCAGGTGACTCCTCAGGTTAGTTATAAGAGGTCAGACGAATCCTCAGGTTAGTCATAAGAGGTCAGGTGACTCTTCAGATTAGTCATAAAAGGTCAGGTAACTCCTCAGATTAGTCATAAGAGGTCAGGTGACGCCTCAGGTTAGTTATAAGAGGTCAGGTGACTCCTCAGATTAGTCATAAGAGCTCAGGTGACTCCTCAGGTTAGTCATAAGAGCTCAAGTGACTCCCAGGTAACTCATTAACAAGGGACGTCCTCTAGAACCCTTAATTTCGCGACCATTGATAAGAGGCGACTATTTCATTTTTATAGTACAGCAGTAGACGGGGGCTGCTGCTGCTGTAATTAAGATTTTTCATTAAACTCGTCGCTTCTGGGGCCTGTACTGTGACGCCAGGGATGAGGAGTGGCATAGTCAACCTTGCCATATGCCATACCGTGTGACCCTGCATGTGTGACCTGCCATGTGTGACCCTGCCATATGTGTGTGACTGCCATGTTGTTGTGACCCGGCCATATTGTGTGACCCTGCCTTACTATCTGACCTTGTCTTACTGTGACTCTTCCATTCTGTGACCCTACCGTACTGTGACCCTACCTGTGACCCTACCATAAAGTAACCCTACTACTGTGACCCTACAGTACTGTGACCTACCATACTGTGACCCTACCGTACTGTGACCCTACCGTACTGTGACCCTACCATACCCTAAGTAACCCTACCGTACTGTGACCCTACTACTGTGACCACTGTGACCCTACTGTGACCCTACCATACTGTGACCCTACCGTACTGTGACCTACCATACCCTACCGTGTGACCCTACAGTACTGTGACCACCATACTGTGACCCTACCATACTGTGACCCTACCGACCCTACCGTACTGTGACCCTACCGCCCTACCATACTGTGACGCTACTGTGTACTGTGACCTACCGTACTACTGTGACACCGTACTGTGACCCTACCATACTGTACTGTGACCCTACCGTACTGTGACGCTACCGTACTGTGACCCTACCATACTGTGACCCTACCATATACCGTACTGTGACCCTACCGTACTGTGACGCTACCATACTGTGACGCTACCACTACCCTACTGTGACCCTACCGTGACCTACCATACTGTGACGCTACCGTACTGTGACCCTACCGTACGACCCTACCATACTGTGACCCTACCGTACTGTGATACCGTACTGTGACCCTACCATACTGTGACCCTACCGTACTGTGACGCTACTACTGTGACCCTACCATACTGTGACCCTACCATACTGTGACCTGTGACCCTACCATGACCTACCGTACTGTGACCCCAACCCTACCGTACTGTGACGCTGTGACCCTACCGTACTGTGACCCTACCATACTGTGACCCTACCATACTGTGACCCTACCATACAATGACCCTACCATACTGTGACCCTACCGTACTGTGACCCTACCATACTGTGACCCTACCATACTGTGACCCTACCATACTGTGATGCTACCATACAATGACCCTACCATACTGTGACCCTACCATACTATGACCCTAGTATACCACATGACCCTACCATGATAACCGAGGCATTTGCTCTAAGTAGAATCTTTACGGAGGGGTCTGATGAATGTCAAAATGAACACTGAGACTCCTGTTGTCTCGGTAGGGTTGTCAAAATTCTTCGCCCGTTGTGTCTTATTGTCTAACACAAAATCGTAAAGATACGTTTTGGAGCGAGCTGTACCAACTATCTGCTGAGATAGTGAAGTAAATAGATTAAGCGAGTTTGTAGTGACTAGTAACGATGTTAGTAAACAAAAAGATAAATTAAAACCTACTAAGTCGCCAGGTCCCAACGAGATATTTGCCAGAGTAGTAAAGGAATGTAAGGCAGAACTTGGTATGCCCTTAGCAAACTTGTTTAATATGTCATTAAAAAGGGGGCATAGTACCAGAATCCTGGAGGATATCGAATGTGATACCGATTTTCAATAAATGAGATAGATCACTATCATCAAACTACCGCCCCACCAGTTTAACTTCAATTGAAGGCAAATTTCTGGCAGCAATAGTTACAAACTCAATTCGAAATCACCTCGAGAAACATAAGCATGGCTTCACAAGTGGGCGTTCATGTCTGACAAATCTACTATCATTCTTTTCAACTCGAATCGGTTGATGACGAATACAATTCTTAATTGGGTTAAGGCGTGGTTAAAGGCCGGGAAACAGATCCGATTGGGGTGACGTCACTATTGGAGTACCCCAAGGCTCAGTACTTGGACCAATATTATTTATTATATACACTAACGACAGGTTTAGGCGTAGACAGCAACATAAGTAAAATTTGCTGATGACACTAAAATAGGGCGTGTAATTAAATCTCATGAAGACTAGAGTAAATTATAAGAAGACCTTTACCAACTTTTTTTCAAGTGGTGAAAAATTGTAGATGAAATTTAATATTGAAAAATGTGGAGTACTTAAGTTGGGAAATGAAAACCGGGAAACCAGCTGTCAGGTGAACAAACTTTATATAGAGAAATCCGAGTGTGAGAAAGATTTAGGGTAATGATAAGTAGGAATCTTAAACCAAGACAACAATGTGTATTTATTTGCTCAAAACAAGGCTAATAAAGTACTTGGGTTCATACAAAGGAGTGTTAGTTACAAGACTAGCGAAGTTATCTTAAAACTATATCTTGCGCTTGTGAGACCTCACTTGGATTATGCAGTTCAATTCTGGTCACCGTACTACACAATGGATATAGAATCCTTAGAAAGAATTCAGAGGAAAATGACAAGACTAATCCCGGGCATTAGGAACCTCGAGTACAAAGACAGATTAAAACATCCGAATTTACACTCCCTCGAGAGACATAGTGAGGGGCGATATGATCGAGGTGTATAAATGGAAGTCAGGGTTAAATAAAGGTGATATAACAAAGGTACTTAAATTATTCAACCAGGTGCTAACTCGTAGCAACAGTTTTAAATTAGACAGATTTAAATCTTGGCGCGTGATAGGTAAACACTGGGTAGCTTCAGATATAAGTTGGACAGATATACGAGTATGAGGGTTGGGTGGGGCGGCCCAATAGCCTCACTACAGTTTCTTCCATTCTTATGTTCTTATGACTCTGCCACACGGAAACCTTGTCATACTGTGTGACCCAACCACACTGTGTGACCCTACCACACTGTGTGGCCCTGGCATACTGTGTGACCCTGGCATACTGTGTGACCCTGGCATACTGTGTGACCCTACCACACTGTGTGACCCTACCACACTGTGTGACCCTACCACACTGTGTGGCCCTGGCATACTGTGTGACCCTACCACACTGTGTGACCCTACCATACTGTGTGACCCTACCACACTGTGTGACCCTACCACACTGTGTGACCCTGGCATACTGTGTGACAATGGCATATTGTGTGACAATGGCATACTGTGTGAACCCTACCATACTGTGTGACCCTGCCATACTGTGTGACCTGGCCATAATGTGACGCCTGCCATATTTGACCCTAACCTAACCATAACGGATGGTTGGTGGTAGAGGTGGGTGGTGGCGCGGGTGGGTGGTGGCGGGGGTAATGGTGGGGTGGGTGGTGTGAGAGCAATGTGGGGTGGGTGTGAGAGAGTAATGGTGGGTGGGTGGTGGCTGGGTGGTGGCGGGGGTAATGGTGGGGTGGGAGGGTGGGTTGCCTGCCACAGATTATGGCTTAACAAGGTTAGTACGAGGTGTGAGGGGCTAATGTATGGGGCGTGAGTTACCTCCTCCTTTCTTCCTTCCTTCCTTCTCTTCCTCACTCCCCATCCTCTTTCCCTCTTTTTCCTTCCATCCTTCCTTCTCCTCCTCCTCCTTCCTTACTCCCCCTTTCCTCTTCCTTCTTCCTACCTCCCACTCATTTCCTCCTCCTCCTCCTCCTTTTCTTTCCCTTCCTCTACTGCGCCATCTTCAGGCTTTACAGTGTATTAATAATAATTCAGAGTTTATTAGTTACACAGGTGCCAAGTGTTTGAGGTATACCAAAGACGTGAGTGGCGTACCTAACCTAACCTACTCTGATTTGATCTCACCTCGTATAACCTAACTTACTGTAATTTAACCTCTATTAACTGATCTGACTGAATTCCGCATTTTAACCTCTCTCTCTCTCTCTCTCTCTCTCTCTCTCTCTCTCTCTCTCTCTCTCTCTGTTTATCTGTCTATCTGCCTCTTTCCCTTTTTTTCCTTCCTCTCCTCCTTACACACACACTCTCCAGCTCTCTCCTTCCCCTTCCAACGTTTGTGTCAGGTCGAGTTACCATGGCGACGAACTCTCTCTCTCTCTCTCTCTCTCTCTCTCTCTCTCTCTCTCTCACACAGGACTGCTCTACCCTCCAAATTGTGAAATTACATAGAAAGTGACTTATTTTCCTCCAAACTTTCGGTCCTGAACAACACGTGTAGTATGGTAGTTTAAGTAAGTCAATTATATACGTTATTATTTAAGGGAGACCTGAATGTAAGAACCTTTTGAGTGAGTCAGTTAAGTTTTCATACATCATTAGTTCAGGTGAAAATCTTAACTTATGAGCTGCTGAGATTCTTGACCTTAATACAGCCTGTCGTAAGATGAGGTAAATTCTCCAGTGATAAAGAAAATATTATGAAGTCCACAGGTTTTGGAAGAGAGTGAGTTCCAAGTACGAATCTTTGGTCGTCTTGTGGAATGACTCCACCGCTACTGCTACTGCCACACCTTCGCCGCCATTTATTACCTTAATATTAAATATCCTAATACAAAAGTAGCTACCCTAGCTGTGTTGAGTTAGTTGAGCCGCAGATCTATGCGGCTCTCCTTCCCCTGAGGCAGAGCAATGCAGACCTAAGCAGAGAGAAGGACAGTCGACATCTCAACCAGGCTGTAACATAACTTCTGGGCTGCTGCTTCCGTTCAGATAACACCTCCTCGAGTCTGGCATAGAAACATCTTGCACTTGGTCCCATCCCGCCAGAGGTTGTGAACACCAGAGGAGTGAAGCTGTCTTGATCAACATTCAGAATTCTCTCCCCATATTTCCTGTTCTTGTCGTTCTCGTTCCTCCTGTGTTCAGCATCGAGAGCTAGGTTACGGTGACATGTGGCCATGGGATCGAAAATCCTTTTGTCAAAGAAGGCTCGCTGTCCCCGCGTCCAGAATCCTCGAGCACTGACGCCCACACGGGCTTCGTTGGATGTGTTTGAAGTCCTTCTACTACTTTTTGCACTATACTTCCGAGATGGGGGCCAAGTTTCCGAAGCGACCAACCGTTGTATGCTGTGATTGATTTACGCCCCCCGTCGGACTCGTGGCGGCGGGGAATAAAACTGTTATTGGTGGTATGTGGCTGTTGTTCACGTCTTTAAGGGCGCCTCGCTTATAGCACGGTGCTCTCTCTCTCTCTCTCTCTCTCTCTCTCTCTCTCTCTCTCTCTCTCTCTCTCTCTCTCTCTCTCTCTCTCTCTCTCTCTTACGCTGCTCACTCCTCCTCCTTTTCCTCCTGCTCCTCTTCTCCCCCCGTCCATCTACAGACGACCACCCCTTCCTCCTACTCTTCCTCCTCCACACAACACCCTCCTCCTCCACCCAACCTCCTACTTCTCCCTCCTCACCCAACCTCCTACTTCACTCTCCTCCTCCACCACCCAACCTCCTACTTCCTCTCCTCCTCCCACCCAACCTCCCTACTTCCTCTCCTCCTCCACCCAACCTCCTACTTCCTGTCACTCCTCCACCCAACCTCCTACTTCCTCTCCTCCTCCACCCAACCTCCTCTTCCTCTCCTCCTCCACCCAACCTCCTCTTCCTCCTCTCCTCCCACCCAACCTCCTACTTCCTCTCCTCCCACCCAACCTCCTACTTCCTCTCCTCCTCCACCCAACCTCCTGCTTCCTCTCCTCCTCCCACCCAACCTCCTACTTCCCTCTCCTCCTCCACCCAACCTCCTACTTCCTCTCCTCCTCCACTTGCCCAACCTCCTACTTCCCTCTCCTCCTCCCACCCAACCTCCACTTCCTCTCATCCTCCATCCAACCTCCTACTTCCTCTCCTCCCTCCACCCAAACTCCTACTTCCTCTCTCCTCCTCCACCCAACCTCCTACTTCCTCTCCTCCTCCACCCAACCTCCTACTTCCTCTCCTCCTCCACCCAACCTCCTACTTCCTCTCCTCCTCCACCCAACCTCCTACTTCCTCTCCTCCTCCTCCTCACATAAATACAGGGCAAAGCTCATTTTCCACTGGATGAATTATTCCTGTTTTTTATCACAAGCAATTTACAGAGTGGCTGGCTGACGTCTTTGTTGACCGAGGTTCCCAGTGTGTTATGATTTACAGATGATAGTGAATTTATTTACGTCGTAATTCACTTATTTACTTGTACATTGTTGGTTTGGTTCACTTATTTGGTTGAATGGTTTCTTTATTCTGTTGTACACCTAACTAACCAATTATCTATTTTAATTAACCAACTAACTTTAACCGGCAAATTTGTAACCGATTTTAACTCTCTCTCTCTCTCTCTCTCTCTCTCTCTCTCTCTCTCTCTCTCTCTCTCTTATTAGATATCACTTGGTAAGGTAATCCTCTTAGCTCTTTAACAGGTGGTTTCCCAAAGGCTCTTAAGTTAATTGTTCTTCCAGCATATATGAAAGCACATTTTCCCTTAGCTGGAGATGTGAGCACGTATTTCTTCGTTATACGAGATGTAAAACAATATTTCCCCGAACTTAGAATGGACAAGTGTAAAAATCGCACTTGAGCTACGATGCAGAGACCCAAACTGCAGACACTAGTTTGCATCAGAAGTGTACAGAGACAATACCGTATATACACCCTGCGTTCTGATGGTCGCATTCAGGGTAATAAACTCAGTCAGAATCTTTGAAAAATTCGAATCATTTAGGGGAAAGAAAATATGAAATCGAAGACACAGACGTAAACTGGAATCATTGACTTGAAACCATAATAAACTACTTGCTGACGAGGGTAATTTTATCCAGCTGAAAACATTTTTATAATATCCCGGTATCATAACGATCAGAGCAAGAACTCCTTCAAACACTCCCACCAGATAACGACAACAACCATACATGGCTCCCAAAAAGTTATCAAATCTCAAAAGGTCCATTACCACCCCCGATCTATACGGCCAGGCAATAGACAACCTCCCTAGACCAGCATCCGCCAGTAGGGTCGGCGGAATATGAAATAAGGCCCTTAAAACACCCATATATGGGACAGGGTAGGATGTCTAGTGCCTGTACCGACAGATAATAACTAACCCATGACACAACCCTAACACACCAATAGGCGGTCAGCCCGCCCTCTCTTACCGCCTCCTGAATTTCTTCAATTTCCAAACTATAACTTCCTTCCCCCACCTCTAATCTTCTTCCACCCCTTCTTTCTCTATTAAAAAAACCTCCCTCTCACCCACCCCTTCACCCTCCCTCCCTCTCACCCACCCCTTCACCGTCCTCCCTCTCTCCCGCTCCCACCCCTCTCTCTCTCACCCACCCCACCCACCCACTCACCCTCCATCTCACCCACTTCCTCACCCACCCTCTCACCCCCTACCCCCCCCTACCCCAAGGTTTTGACGTTAGTTCCACCCTCATAATCCGATTTTGATAACCAAACGCGTTCATTATATTCTGGTCAATAGCTCGTGTGCGGCCAACGATGTTTTAAATCCGCTTTTGGTGGGCGTGAGGGAGAGGATGAGAGCCAGGGATTACATTACCTTTATCATGGCTTTATACCTGTAGTGGGACGAAATTAATTTTCAGTGGAAATTATTATTTTTTTCTCGGGAATTAGGTCGAGAGGATGAGGTTAAATATATACAGTACCTGTTCTAATGTAATGTAACCTAAGCTACTATAACCTAACCTAACCTATAATACCCCACAGGGTATAACTCCATCTAGTGCCCAAATTTGTGTTACCTTGTCGTAGTATTGAGGCTCGAACGAACCACTTCCAAATACCTGGGATGGTTATAAAGTTCCCATCTTGTAACCTCAGATGAGGAAGTTGAAAGTGAGTTGTCGTTAAGGTCGTAAATTCACTTCGTCATAGGTGTTGTGGCTGGCCTCGACACTCCATAGTTCATTCCCAATATTTTCTACATCCTTTAATTAGTCTCCAGGTGAGGAAGGGTTTGGGGCGTCCTATTTCATTAACTTATCTCTTGCCCTTGAACATCCATGAACAGACACAATAAACGATTTCGGGCGTTCCTCTTGGATGATCGTCTCTTGAAGGTCCAACCACATTGCCTCCCGTGCTTGATGGTAAATTCAAATAGCTTTAATGGTGAAGATTTTTACTTCATACATTCAGGTGGTGAAAAACATGAGATAGGTGTTGAGCAGTAGTGTAGAGGGATACTGAGTAGTGTCAGATAGTTTAGTATAGGCGAATGTTAAGAATAAGTTACACTGACAGGAAAACAAATGAATAAGTAATAAGATTAGCAAAAACTTCAAGAGAAATACTTGAAATATACGGAAAAGGAAAAATGAGATACTTTGGTCATATAATTAGGGATGGGAGAATAATAAAAAAAATTACTGGACAAAATTAAAGGTAGGAGAGCCAAGGGTAGGCAGAGACTGGGATGGATGAATGAAATTAAAAACTGGGGCCCCAGAGAGATACAAATCCTTGGAGGATTGGTAACAACAGCCCGAGAACATTTAGAGTGAAGGGCTGTGGTCGCCAGCCATCAGATATGAAGACGGTACTCTGATTTAATTGATTCATTGATTGATTAATTGAAGTAAGAATATTTTATCTTAACTTAACCTACTTACCCAACCTAACTGAGCCTTACCAAACCCTGCCTAACCAAACCTAACCCAACCCTGCCTAACCTAACCATGTCCTCTGCAGGTAATGACGAGAATGGCGCTGAACGGGGCGTATCTGTACTACTGGAGGGAGAGGAAGCAGAGCTGGTGTTTATACGTCTTCAGGATATAACCCAAGCCATAGCTGTGAGTACTAGAGACCCCACACACCTGCATACACCACTACACATCTCCACACACCTCCATACACCACCAAACTCCACCACACTCCACCACACACCACCACACACCACCACACACTACCACACACCACCACACAGGACCACACACTCCACCACACAACAACCACACACCACCACACACTACCACACCACCTACCACACACACACCACACACACACACACACACACCACTACCACACCACACACACCACACACCACACACACACACAACACACACACCACCACACACACCACACACACACCACACTACCACACACCACCACACACACAACACACACACACACACCACCACACACCACCACACACTACCACACACCACCACACACTACCACACACACCACTACTACCACACACTACCACACACACACACTCACCACACTACCACCACACACTCCACCACACACACACACCACACACTCCACACACACTCCACCACACACACTACCACCACAGACACACACACATCCACCACACACACACACCACCACACCACCACATCACTACACCACACACCCACACACCACACCACACACACACCACACACACAAACACACCACACACACACACACACACCACACACCACCACACCACACACACCACCACACACACACACCCACCACACTACACACACACACACCACACACACACACACCACACACACCACACACACTCACCACACACCACACACCACCACACACACCACCACACACACACACACACCACCACAAACACACCACACACACACACACACACTACCACACACCACCACACACTACCACACCACCACCACACACCACACACACACTACCACACACCACCACACACACACCACACACACCACACACCACACACACACCACACACCACCACACACTACAAACTAACCACACACACCACCACACACCACACACACCACACACCACCACACACCACACCACACACACACACCCACACCACACACACACTACCACACACACACCCACACACACACCACACCACACACACCCACCACACACCACACACACACACACACACACACCACACACACCACACACACTACCACACACCACCACACACCACCACACACACATGCCACCACCACCACACCCACCACTGTGCCACTACCACCCACATGCACCACACACACTACCACACACCACACACACACTACCACACACTGTACCACCCACACACCACCACACACTACCACACACTACCACACCTTACCACACACCACCACACACTACCACACACCACCACACACCACCACACACCACCACACACTATCACATACCACCACATCCCTCCACATTATGTACCAATAATCTGTATAAGTCGTCAGAAACTAATCCACTGAACAATATGGATAATTAAGCATGATATAATCCGATTAGCGTAAGAATGAAGTGTATGTGTGTGTGTGTGTGTGTGTGTGTGTGTGTGTGTGTGTGTGTGTGTGTGTGTTTGTTCTCACACAGAGTGGTGAAATGCGTCTAGTGTGGCAGCATTATGTTAGTGTTAAGGTGCAAGTACTGCTTGCTTCCACTCTCTTTCAGCTGCCGCCACTGGCTAGCCCTCCTGGTGAACAGGGAAGCAACTTACATAAGTCTTCCCCTGCCAGTACACAGCCTCTTCACCATCAAGACTCCTGCTGTGCCTCCTCGTGGCAACACACGGTAACTGGGTGTATTGCGGGCCCAGGCTAGACGAGCAGGGGATTTTGGAGTATGAGTGGCCTCCAGAGGGACGGCGCATAGGCCCACTGGAATGTGGACACGCTTTGGCGCCTACCAACCACTGTCCCGTTGCCTTCCAGATTAACCTTGGGAGGTATAAGGCTACGGGAGTAAACCCCGAACGAAAAATCTGCGGTGAAGCCCCGCATCTGGCAGACATGCTTACAGAGCTCCAACAAGACCCCAACGGAGCTATAGGTGGAAGCGGTGACCAACATGGGAACCCAACGACTACACCAACAGACGAAGGCAATGCTTGATGGACCGGCTACTAAGGTGAACCCAACAAACTGGGCTATCGGCAGTCCATTGCGACTCTTCCTCTCCCTAGTCACTGCAACACTTGCACCACTGGATCAGGAAAAGAGAGAGCCAAGATGTGTGGTTGCTGCTTGCGCTCCTGCCTCAACACACCAATCAACTCATGTGCAGCCATCATCCAGCTCATCATACCTCTCATCATCATCAAAACTCCTATACCCCCCAAAAGTCCTATGGCGACAGACGAGTGGTGACGGGGACAGGCAGAGATGTCTGCTGGGAATCTCCAGTCACCACTCTGCACATGGGCGGCACAGATAAGATAGTCGTTTATGTAATGTGATCTAGGCAGCAGTGCAATCCGGTCTTATCTGTGCGACTGAGCAACCCCTTCGAGGAGCCACTCTCCTCACCCCACATGGGGAGGGGGCTAGAAGAGGTGCCCTGAACATAGCCTGCCTAAAAAACCAACCTGACTGGGTAACCGCAACCAGTAAGGTCATCCTTATGCTGTCGAAAGCACAATCATAATCACAGATCCAAACAAACTTTACAACCTCTTATGGTCACTGCATGGAATGTCAGGACCCTTCTGGATACTGGCACAAATGAGCATCCTGATAAAAGAACTGCCCTTGTGGCAAAAGAGCTGGCTAGGTGTAACATCGACTTAGCAGCCATTAGTGATTCCCGGCTCCCAGACAAGGGTCAACTCTCAAAACGGGGGTCTGGCTGTACCTTCTTCTGGAAGGGTAAGCCTGCTGTGGAGAGAAACCACATTTATGGAATTGGCTTTGCCATCCGCCAACACATCCTACACAGGCTAACTGAAATGCCTATTGGGATCAACGAGTTCCTCATGACGCTCCGAGTCCCACTGAATCACTCACGTCATGCCTTTTTCATCAGTACATATGCCCAATACTGTGCAGAGGATGATTATCAAGGAAGCCTTTTACACCGACCTTGACAGAGTGCTAACCTCTAATCCCAAGAGAAGATAAGGTTGTGCTCCTAGGTGACTTCAATGCCAGAGTTGGCAGAGATGCTGACATTTGGCAGGGAATCATAGGGAAAAATGGACTAGGCAAGAGTAATCCTTAAGGCCTACCCCTCCTGAGCAAGTGTGTTGCACACAACCTCACTGTCACCAATACCTTGTTTAGGCAGGCCGACAAGTTCAAGGGTTCGTGGCAACACCCACGATCCAAACACTGGCATCTCATTGACTACATCATTGTCAGAGAAAGAGAATGCCGAGATGTCCTCATAACCCGAGCCATGCGTGGCTCAGACCATTGCGACACTGATCATCGGCTTGTAAGAGCCAATCTATCACTTCACGTCACCCCAAAACGGCGAAGGCAGCAAGTCTCCAGAAGAGGTTTAAACAGTAATCGTCTGGAGGATCTAGCGGTAGCACATGCTTTCAGAGAGCAGCTTGAATATGGGCTGGTAAACGGCCCGACAACAAACAGCTCAAATCCCAATGCCAAATGGGATATTCTCGACACTGCCATGACAAAAACCTGCAGAGACCCTCGGCCAGATCGAAAGAATACGCCAAGACTGGTTTGATGAAAATGACCCGAAAATCAATGTATTCGTCGATGATAAACGTGCTGCTTTAACTGACTGACAGAACAACCTTCAGTCTCAGACCAAAGCTGATACCTTCTGCAAGAAGAATGCGGCGGCCGAGCGAGAACTCCCCAATCTAAAGAACGATTGGCTTAAAAATAAGCTTTTGAAACACAAAAATTTGCAGATCAGCACAAGATGCGTTAATTTTTCAATTTCACTAAAATTTTTTATGGGCCAACTCCCTTATAAAAGAAGATGTACGAAAGAGCACTGGAAAGAGCACTACCATTCACTGCTCAACCGAAACACCTATGTGGTTATCCTGACTACCCAGCAGGTCCCTCAGCATCCAGTGCTCACCCACCTCAGCTATCCTCCATCCCTGGATGAGGTAGCTACTTCCATCAAACAGATGAAAAATAACAAAGCCTCAGGGCCTGATGGAATCCCAGCCGATGCGTATAAAACAGGAGGACCTCTGCTTACCAGCCGTCTCCACTCTCTCCTGGAGAATATACGGGAAAAGGAGGAAATCCCCCAAGATCTTAAAGACGCCTGGCCACGTGTCTTTTAATGAAGGCCGCCCTTTCGACGTGATTAACTAACTACAAAAACTAAAAGCCACATCATTCGTTCGCCTTGCCGACAATCTGTACACGTTGTCATTATATTTCATCATCATCATCATCATCATCATCATCATCATCATCATCATTATCATTATCTTCTTCATTATTATTATTATTGTATGAATGATCTTTAATTTCTGGCTGTTTTATTTCCAACTGTTGTCTGTATTTTTCAAGTTACATGACGTTTCATGTATAGGCTCCAAAACTAATTCCATCCACAGTTTCAGTTACAATACTAATGTCAATCAATTCCAGTTAGGTGTTAGACCATCAGTAAAAGTATTTGTTACTCTACTGATTTCAATCATCACAATTTTAATTTAATTTCTACTGCGTTATTTTTTGTGATTTCAGTCTCAGTAACGATTAACTTTTCAGGTACATTAGAACACCATACACCATACATTAGTTAGCACTAAGTCATTTAATAATAAGGTATAATAATAAGCTGGTATGCCTAATCTTCATGTGGTCCAGTCCTCATAATAATTCTCACCATCAACCTCACCACCAGAGGGAAGGACACGCGGATGGGTGGGTGGTGGTGTACAGCATCAGTGACCGCGAGAGCTTCCAGGAGGCTTCCACCGCCCTGGGGAAGATCTGGTCCCTCGGCCACGTCACCCACAGAGCCGTCATCCTCGTCGCTAACAAGACCGACCTGGAGAGAACTCGGGTCGTCCCTATCACAGGTAAGGAACGTCTTATCAGCTGGTGTGGAAAGATATAGGAGGTCTGTCAGCAGGTTTGAACAGGTATGGGAGGTCTGTCAGCAGGTTTGGACATGTATGGGAAGTCTGTCAGCAGGTTTGGACATGTATGGGAAGTCTGTCAGCAGGTTTGGACATGTATGGGAGGTCTGTCAGCAGGTTTGGACATGTATGGGAAGTCTGTCAGCAGGTTTGGACATGTATGGGAGGTCTGTCAGCAGGTTTGGACATGTATGGGAGGTCTGTCAGCAGGTCTGGACAGGTATGGGAAGTCTATCGGCAGGTCTGGACAGGTGAAGGTAATATTGTAACAGCAAGTGTGGAAAGGCAGAAGGGGACGACGGCTGGGTGTCGGGACGGGACGTAGAGTTAAGGGTAGCCCATGGAATTGGTGTAGCGGCAGTCACCGAACCCCTTCAGAAAAAGTCTGAATACCTCTTCACATAATACAAAGTCTAATGCTAATTTTCTAGGACTTTTTAACCTTGCTGGGACCTTGATTTGGTGTAGGAGTGGGGTGGATGGGGCCTTTGTAACCCTTTACTTATGTTTTATGCCCTTAGAGATTGCAGTCTTTTAAACGTAACTTAATTCTATTGCTTCCTTATGTCGTTACTCTCTCTCTCTCTCTCTCTCTCTCTCAATTAAAGGTCCAATAAAGCAACTTACTCGGAAGGGGAAGCAAGGAAGGGAGGAACACCGGGTTATGTTTAAAAAGAATAGTGAATATATTAATAAATACCTAAAGATATAAAACGAGTCATGAATGTTGCTGGTCTGGGAGGGTCAGCCTTCAGATACATCGAGAATCGTAGGGTGAAGATGTAATGATGTACTAAAAATAACGTTGTAATTATACTTCGACTCCAGATTAACTAATTAGGAGACAAGACTGAGGCAGAGAATCTTTCCTAAAATATCCTGTATAAATTAATTTTGTCTCCTAACTTGTGCTAAGTAAACGTATCTAGTTAAGGTATGTAAATTTTAGTGTTATTTTGGGACGTTATTTTTGTGGTTCATTTTAATTCAGCAGTTACGAGGAATATTTCATCTTAGGAACGTTTGTGGATCTGAACACGGGAGCGAGCATAAGGGATAAGTTGAGATAAGGATGTGTTTCTCTTACACCTGAGCGTTTGGTGTGAAGAGTTCTGAGGGCGTGTTTGAAGCGGTGAGTCTGTTATCATTAGGTGACACTCGGCAACGTTAGAGAGGGAGGGCAGGGGTTGCAACACAGTTTGGGGTGAACTAATAACTCTCTTGGTTGTGCAGTGAATTATTAAATACTTCGTACGTGTTTGGTGGATTCCGTGCGGTACAGTAATAATAATAATAATAATAATAGCTGTTTACTTAGCGAAATTTGGATACATACACCACAATATAGCCCAAACTACAGTGTAATGTGATAACGAGTACATTGCTATTCACCCCAATTCATAGGGCATGAGAATGGGAGTTAAGACTATAAATAAATATGTAGTCCTATAATATTTTCCTCATCCGTTATGTGATTACTGTACTAACTTAAGTTTCCTTCCCTACCTCCTCCTCCTCCTGCAGAAGGCCGCACGCTGGCTGTCACCTATGAGTGTAAGTTCATCGAGGTGAGCGCTGGCTTCGACCACAACGTTGACGAGCTACTGGTTGGCATCCTCACCCAGGTCAGTCTGCTGCAGGAATACCTCTGCACTTCTCTCCTTGGTGGTTCCCAGTCCCAATGGTCACTAATTTTGTCTAATCAAACCAGTATGATTGAGGTTCGGTTCTAATGGGCACCAATTTTAGTGGTTAGTTTGGGGCCTATTAGGATATGGGCCCAATTGACCTACAGCATTCATTAGTACTCGTAGTCAAATAAGAAAATAGGTCTTGGTCTCCTGACCCTAAGTAACTTTCGAGAGGAAAATTTTTCTTTATAAAGCAATTTCATGAGTCAAGAGTTTAACATAGAGACACTGTGTGTGTGTGTGTGTGTGTGTGTGTGTGTGTGTGTGTGTGTGTGTTTAACTTGTGGGGAGGAGGCGGGTCTACGTGTTTCCCATGATAAGTTCTTTGTAAGCATAATGAGTTGTTGTACTTTATATACATTGCGATAATTTTCACATTTTACGTTGAACAGTGCATAGCATTATCTTATTCTGGACTGTCAACAGATCCGTCTGAAACAGCAGGCACAGCAGCAGACGGAAGGTGAGACGGGTCCTGCCAGCACGGCCGCCGGCAGCGACACCTCCCCCACCAGCACCACCTCCAAACTCCGACACAAGAACAGCTTCAGGGTAAAAGGCATCCTTAATAAACTCCTCAACAAGGACAGAAAGACCAAGTCATGTGAGAATCTTCACGTTTTATGAGGCCTTAAAAGCGAATTCTGGACCGCCCTATACAGTTTACAGTGAACCAGTTTGTTTTGTGATCATCGCAAACATAAATGTTATGCTCTTTTTCGGAACCTACTGTACGTTATTTTCGGAATCGTGCAGCATCTGGTTTACGTAGTCATTCAGCTGTATCGGAATAGGAATGCTTAAGTTAGGTTATGATAGGGCGCGCTTCACTAGGTTAGGTTAGGACAGGTCAGAATAAGGTCAGGGTACGCAACCTGTTTTACAACAGGTTGCAGTTGGATTCCTGAAGTCGTGCAAGCGCACATGTGCTATAATCCAGGATACCCAAATAACTTTACTCGTTTCCAGAATTGCGTTCGACACACACACACAGTGCATGAGCGTACAGTGATATAGTTAAAGGTATAGTCTAAATGCATAGTCAAAAATTTTACATCAGTTGAAGTGAGAAGTACAGTAGATTAAACACCAAGCTATAGAAGAGTTTACCTGTGAGAGATTATCATATTAACTCTATACAACCAAACATATGGAATGACTCAAGTTCTAGTCGTATTTTTACATGTTATCTACAAGAGTTTGTGGTAGAATAAATCGGGGGGGAAGACTTTTGAGATCGGAGGGGAGGGGGGGGGGTCATATCAAACTCGTAAAGGGACTTTGTAGTCCATCTAATATTTTCAAAGCTAATACTAATCCTTGCAGATTGAATGCGTATGGTCTTTACTCTGGAACATTATCCCAGTGTAGGTCCGCGGCGATGGGATTCGAACCATGTATTTTGAGCTGGGCACGACTTTGCAAGTGAAGCAGAAAGTATGGCTTTCTGCAATCAAATTCAAATTTATTTTTTTACAAGGTAATTTATTTTTCAAACGAGCTAAAATTTTGTATACGTACAATCAAGTCTTTAAGCGCGTAACATTGTTAGTAATTACACTAGTCCAATGACATTAACAAATTATGAGAGATAGAACTCTCTGGGTAAGTCCCCTTAAAAAACATTGAATTCAAATATGGTCATGGGCCACCTTAACACCTTCGGCGGGCCACAGTTTCCCTATCTCTGTGAGAGTTAAAAAAAATATTATTTCTCGGCGATAACATATGTCTTTACAGCACGCAAGCGTAGCGGGAGATGAAGGAGACTTCTCAGAATGCCCATTATATACAACGTCCATTGAGAATGAGACCCTCCGAGAACGCTACACAGGTGCTCAATTCAAGTGTGATTGGGCTATTTAACGACGTAAATCATCATTCTGGAGGATGAACTTTAGGATAGAAAGTCCATGTATTACTGAAGACCACAGAGGTGTATATAGACTCTTAATATCTACCTTCATGTAAGGTCACAAATGCTAAGTGGAGAGAAAAATTTATTTAGGTGATAAGTCAGCTGGCCTTCGTGGTGTGAAGATCTGTGACAATGCCTGGTAAATGCGCCATATCTGGATGCACATTAAATTACAGACTACATGATAAAAGTTTAAGATTTCATCGATATCCAAAGGATGAAAAACAGAGAAAAAAGTGAATTTTATTGTGCATGTTACAAACATATAGGGTGCAACAGAAGGAAGGGCAATACTTGAGAGCCGTTGGCAGCTTTAAAATTAAATTCCCTAAAGTCTAACTCTCGGCCAAGAAACTAGATGTGGGGAGACAAGTAACTATGTGTTGCTTGAAACTGTTGTATAGCCTAGTCATCTGTAATATATCTAGTGGCCATATTGATAAATTGAAAACCTCTACACATATATATTTGTATCACTGATTTACTGCAATAGCTTAGCTTGGGGAGAGAGAGAATGAGGATAATTATAATCATTAACCATTTTCATTATTTTCTTTAACTATTTTATTTAGTTCTTATGTTCCTTCTGTCCCTCCAGTAAATAGCTAGCCCATATGCCTATGATTACTTAATTGATTTTACACTGATACTGGCAGCCAAATCACGAGTACGGCATAAATAATAATAAAGGGAGGAAGAAGAGGAATTTTAATAATAATTATAATAAATTTTTAATAATAATAATAGGAATATCATAAAAATAATGATTACATGGGAAGTTCAAGTGACTAACTGAAAGATAGTGTGTTAAGGGATGAGAAAACCAGGAAATATGGCAAGAATATCCGCTAGGCCAACGACGTCACATAATTAGCTCCGCCACATGCACGTGGGTTGATTTGATTAAATTAGACCTTGAGAAAGCCTATCCGCCTATCACGTCTGCCGTTACATGACCAATACCCATTCATTCATAATCAGTGATACTTCTACCGCAACAGTGCCGTTTGTTGACACGGGTTACTACAGGGATGTAAAAACACATTTCCGCAACTGTACACTACCCACAATATGGTTGTTATTAAATGAAGTTCCATTGTTTTCCCCATAAGTTTCAGTTGATCGATTGTCTTCTACTAAGTTTATCACTCCTTGGGTGTAAATAATCATATACAAAAGACTAATGTTGACAATCTGGGTCAACAACAACCCAAACAGGATGAACGAAGAACAATTCAAACTTTTTAAATCGAAGTGTCGCTTGTCGGTCTACTATCTGATCTTAAGGATGAAAATAGTACTATGCATAACCCAGTTCACACTTGGATCCCCCACAGTGTCTCTCGTGTATGAAATTTAGCACACAATTGGGGTATGCCTAGTTACAGAATTTTAGCTATAGGGGCATTGCAGATTTAACCTAGGAGAGTAATGGCGGCCATTTTCCAAAATAGCCTCCACTAGCCGCTATGGTGCCCATAGTCTATTAGGTTAACTCCATTTGATGGGAAGAAAATAATTTTATTGTAATGTTCAGCTAATCTCAATGTTTTTATACATTGTTAGTGGAGCAGATATGTGAAAGAATTGTGACTTTAATGATAAAAGCGTGAAATTTGGCACAGATCTAGGGTAGGTCTTAAGGATGATTTTTGGCTATATGGCCACTCCAGATTCTTCCTGTGATGGCCATGGCGGCCTTTTTTGTTCCGCCATTACAGAAAAATCAATTATGCTTCATAATCTTGTACTTGAAGGTGTTTATACCCATGTTTCCAGGGTCGAGGAGTACAATCGACCCATTAGAGTACAGTCACAATCCGAAGTTTCGACAACCCCCTGGCTGGGTGTTCGCCGAGGCCAGGGTTGAGGTAAGGCTGCGTGATCGGACGCAGACTAGTTCAGCAGTGTGGTAACGAGGCACTACGATGGTGAGGTTCACATTCCACCACCACAACACTCCGAGACTCATAGCACACGAGCACAGGAAGGAACTTATTACCAACTTTGACATGGCATGAACTTGCATAACAAATGCATCCATAACATTGTTGCCACACCTAACAATAACATGTTAAGATTGGAGCATGAAAAACTTTGCCCGGTCCCAAAACACTGACTTGGAACCACTAGATGGGAGTCCTCATATTACACATGAATCATCAGGGCAGCATATATAAAGGGCGGCCGAATTTCGTCAAGAGGGAGTGAGCGGTCAGTGGACAAGGTGAGGCCTACACATGTATAGATATTACCATAACCCTGGGAATATTATGGTTTCACACATACTAGGAATTCATATAGTCATGCTTACAATATTTAATGGTGTATCAGTAACTACAGGGGAGTATGTTGGCTTGGGATGTTTCAATTCACATTAATCATGGAATCACCCCAACAATTTTTGTCTGGTCAGGAGCAGCGACTTTGCCTAAGACCTCGACCCTCAGTGTAGATGCCTGGCCGTGTGTCATCATTAGTGACTACTTATTGGTCACTTGCCTTGTTTCCTGTCTACTGCTGCTTTTAGTTTTTAAATTTCACTTCATAATGTCTCGGATTGTGAGAGTTATGGCACAGAGGTCACCAATATTACAACAAGTTACGCATTTGATTATTTTTAATTTTTCACCTGAATAATAAATATCTATGACGTCCTAATCATGGTGTTTGGTAACTTGGAGCTAATGTCCAATAGATATGGCTATTCTGGCTGGAGGACGTGGGCTACGTACACCTAACACTCCAGCCAATCGCCCGGAGTTGATAGCCAACAGAGCTCTGATAGTGGGTCACTACTATGATTATTGACTGTTAATGGTTATCTTTGTGATGGGACTTATTCTTTGTCTGTAGTTGTGTCACGATACTTTTAGTCCATCAACACGTGATGTTTATCAATATTCATATTTCATAACTGGGTCGAGAACAGCCCATGTTTCTCATGCCTCACTCCTAACTTGCTATTGTTATGTGTGCCAACAATGTTATGAATGAAATTTTGTTATGCAGGTGCATGTCATGTCAAAATTCGTAAAAATTTCCTTCCAGGCTCGTGTGCTGTGAGTCTCGGAGTGTTGTGGTGGTGCGTCGGATCACCCAACCTTACCTCAACCCTGGCCTCAGCGATCACCCAGCCAGTGGGGTGTCGAAACTTTGGATTGTGATTGTACTATGTTATGGAAATATATCATGCAATCATGAGAAAATATGGATTGGGGCCTCTTTCAATTGCCGGACATTGTTCATGAGCTCTTTGTCAAAATATAACATTGAAAACATACAAAGTTAGCATAAATATAATTCTTTATTGAAATATTTCCATTATGCGTTTGCTGTGCAATGAGTTAACACCTTATAATTATGCTATCCAAACTTATGTTCAAAAGACAAGAATTAGAATATCATCATTTCCCTAGTCGATTGGATATCTGCAGCATTCAGTCACACTCAGCACCACACTGGCCCCCACACAGAGATAGATAGATATGTTTATTGACCACAGCTTACACTAAAAATATTACACAACGTGTAAACAATATATTTGAATACAAAACCATTATTGTAAAATATTAAAACAATAGATAACTGTAGTCCAACAAATAATCTTTAAACCATATTAAACAAAGTAAAAATGTAGAAAGCATTAATTGAACAAGGAACATTATTCATACAACCATAAAATGTAATGGATAATCTTGCATACAATATTATTTGTGAACTTGGAAAACAGATCACATCAGGAATTTATGCCAAAAAACTCTCTAAAATATTGGGTGTTAGGACAAGCCTCCACAACATGCCTCTCGGTGTGCACGAGGCCACACCCAAACACAGGCGCTCTTCCAATGGGAGGCGGCCACACCCCCGCCTGTTCCACCGTCTTGTCTCCACTGCCAGGCTGTGCCTAGGCACTCTAAAACGTGTAAAAGAAATTCTTTGCAAATCATTAGTTGCATGTTTCTTGATGTAAACATCATGCACTATAAAGCTTGGATTGTTGTCCTTATATACATTACATCTTGATGTGTCAGAGTTGGCAATGGCACTATGTACAGTCAGCCAAAGATCCAGCGACCCCACCCCGAGGTTCGTACTGGCAATTTTACCCGGCAATACTTGGTAAAGGAAGGCTGTATGTAAAGGTGATTGTTATTGGTGGATCTGTTTTCGGCTGTATCACTGTCAGGATAAATATTAAACAAACCAAAGGTAGAATTTTTATAATAATAAACTATTCATTGTTATTTGAGGTCAGGAGAAGTTTCCAAATGTTCTTATATTTGCTGAAATAATGAAGAAAATTTGATCTGAGAACGGTATGGCAGTCCTCGTTGTAGTTGAGTTGCCAATTCATTAATATAATTTCTACATTATTTAACCAAATATACGTGGGTCCCTTCCACTTATAAAGTCCCTCATATTTGTATCCGTCCTTGAAATATGTGGACGTACTTTATCCAAGAGTGTGTTGTACATTTCAGGAACCATGCGAATGTATCGTTGCACGTCCTGTGTGTCCTCACGCTGTATTTCATCAAAGATTTGGTTATAAGCACCACACGACTTGTTCCTTAACCAGTTTTACACCACACAGTCCGTTTTCTTGTTTTTTTCTTCAGTATCATCCCGGCGGCCAAAACACACAACAGTGCGGCCGTCCGTCGCCGACTCGTGTGTCTGGGAGCCATGAACCTCTTGCCCAGCAGTCTACCACACACTGACCGGTAACGACGGTGTGGCAGTTCCGTGTAAACGCGCCGTCCACTGAACAGTGGTCGGTACCCTGCTCCGACCCCATGCTTCGCCACTGATCCGAGGCGTGCGCGACCACCATACGTGGTAACTGATCGTGTAAACGAGCCCTAAGACTACCAAATCTGTATCGACAGTGCATATTGATGCCGTGGTCTAACCCTCATTTACAGCATCTTCCAAGTGCAGCCTCATTCTTGTGTCTGCCTCTTCATGGTTACATGGAGCTAGACCAGATGTGTGTCTACTGTATACTGGGTGAAGAGAATGGTTGCGTGATGTGTGCTGATAACCTGTTTCTCTTTTTTCTTCGACACCACTCTTACTGCCAAAAAAGAAAATGGCTCAGATTTATTTTCGTCCAAGCGAAGGAACTCTTGCCAGTTTCTCGGAATTAAACCTGTCACTTCCACGCGTTTCTTCACTCCTTTGCCTTTTCCTTCTCGTGTACCAGCCTTTGTGCTATGAGGAAACCATTCATCCCACACAACTTCTACACGAAAAGCCTTCTGTAATTAGGATTCTATGTAAGGTAAGAATACGTGCATGGCATAGTCAGTGAATGTCTTAGCAGAACCTAGTTGAAGCATGTGCACAATAGCAGCTCCATCGAGGATTATGACGTCAGTGACAGGTGTATCAGCACCACCAGATCTGATTTACTGTAGTACCATGTTTCAGTTTACCAAATTGCGACAACACAGGAGGATGTACTTGGTTTTCACCCTCAAAGAACTTGTCAAGCTCTCCTTCTCGCACTTGAGAAGCTATATAAAGTCTGGAGAAAAAAGAACAGTCATTCTTCAAAGGCAACATTTGTTGCAGATCTTTAGAATTTGCTCTGAATGAAGAAAGGAATGTTGTTGCGCGCGATGGGATCAGCAATTGGTTTAAGCCACATCTATAAGACGGTCTTTGACACAGGCATCGTACTGTTCTTGTCCCAATTTCTCCAGGTTTTATACAGTGTCTACCACAGCAGTGTCTGCCAGGTCTCTGCTGTGCAGCACCAGAAGGTTTGTGCTGTTCTCGCTAAATGGATTTCCCATTTCATTCATGGCATTATGCCATGGTGAAGTATGCCTCTGGACATGTTGCATAATGACAGTCACATTGTGACTTTTACTTTTCCATTGATACCCAAATTTCCTCAATCCTCTTGCCATTTCTGGGCCAGACATAACAAAAAGTATACTGACCAAAAGTATATATGGTTATACAATAAATTCACATAATACACTATTGATTGCTTTATTGCAATCCTCAACCCTGAAAACACAGGTACTGTATAGACACTTCAAGTACAAGATTGGCTTGATTAGTTTTAAAGTTATGACGCATAATTGAATTTGCTGTAATGGCGGAACAAACACGGCCGCCACGGCCATCACAGGAAGAATCTTCAGTGGTCTTATAGACAAAATTATTCCTTTATACCTTCCCGAGCTCTGTACCAAATTTCATGCTTTTATCATTAAAATCACAATTCATTCATATTTTTGTACATATTTGCTGGACTATTCATCACGCAAGAATAAGAAGTGAATTCATGTTATAATACGGGAGTTCTTATGAAACGTTATGGCTTGTTGTGAAATTTTTTTTTTTTGCCATTTTTAAGGTACAGTTCTAATGCAGAATTCAGCAGAATTTGAGCAAATTACAACATCTGTTTATATCAATAATATTTCTTCAGATTCAGCAATTTATTTTATTATAATCATTCATTCTTCAACCTAGTATAAATTTGTAACCCCTAGGAACAACAAAAAAGGCTATTTAAGCTTGTGAAGCCTCAAATTAATTAGCTTAAAAACACTATAAAAAGTGCAAGACGGAAATGGTTAATTGAGTCATTCATCTGATGGCCTCTCTGCCATCATTGTGTCTCAAGGTTCGGCTCAAGATTTGACTGTATCCCGAACGATGCAATCCGTGCACATAATATATTTAATTTTATATCGAAAGGTATGCATATGACAAAGAAAATAGTCAACGCCGAAAGTTGAGGACACCAAGATGAATAAGTAAAAATATTAGCTCTGTGAAGTATTTTAAATGAATATTTACAGCCGAAGTTGATATCAACACAACAAATGCTGTCGTCTAAAGCCTGTGCCAAGGAATTTATTGTGGCGAATTTAGACTGACATACCGTACCTCTCTGTACTGTACTTTCCAGCAGCTCTGTGCCTGAGATGTGGTCTGATCTGATATTGATATTTTAGAATATGAAATACGTGTATTTATTCAGTGGTATGTGATGCATTTTGCTTTGATTTAATTCATAATCAGTATAAGGAGAAGAAGAGCGCGTGCAGTGGCTACCGCTTGGTTTCAAGGTACGTGCTATATTCTGGTAATAATGTCCTAAGATATGATAAATTTATTAGTACAGACTTAAAATGCCTTTATCAATAAGGTTGAATGGTACAACTGATCGGGACAATATTTACCATGTCTTATAGTCGTTCTTGTAAGAGTACAGCACCTTACCAAGAGCATCCAATTGACGTTGGCAGCCCTTACAGTCCGGCAGCTACAGTAAATGGTATATTTTGACAGAACCAAATATTTTGGTCTTAAGATTTTTCAGGTTTGGTTTTAGTAGCTTATTTTGAAGAACAGCCTGATGACACCGTGTCTCTATTTGCCGATTTGAAATATTTACCCTTTTTTCACCCATCCACCTCAAAATGTCAGAAAACTTTTCTATTCCCTCTGAAAATTTGGAATTTTCTGCGTCTGTTTTTGTTTACTAAACTGGACTCGCCTCTGATTTATAGAGTGGTTTTAGAGGAGAAATGGGCATATCCTGATTGATTCCCAAATGTCATTGTTTGCCTTGGAGGAATGCACTCACTGGTGAGCTTTGTTGGTTGTGTTGTTACTTTGATGCAAGACAACGGTGGATTGCCGAAAATTCTGAATAATTAAAAGTACACACACAATATGAGAGCAATACGTATTATTGTAGAAGAGAAAATACTTAGAGATGTAGTTCAAAGACTATTTGATGAAAATCCTGGAAAGCAAAGCTAAAAGGAGCAAGACAAGAAAGCAGTGGGTTGATGACCTCATCATAATGATGTTTGTCAGGGCTGAAAGAGAAGCTTATTGGCCACTGTATCTTGAAGCATACAGACAAATGTTGCCCTATTTATTTGCAGCCGACCTTTTCCACTCGCAGGTACAGATTGTGCTACGTACTTGCGATCCATGGAGTCACTCCCTGAAGGCGCACTCTCCCATTTCATGAAAGGCGAACATGTTATGAGGCATGTACTGTACAAGCGACATGGAATGGCATTTGGGGTGATATGTTTATTGAAATGACCTTTAGGAGGTATTGTGACCATGCTCCTGAAGGAATCCTAGGTATTACCCTCAAGGCAGAGACACTAAAGGTTTGGGCCCTGAGTCTCCACACATGCAATCGCCTAGAGGCAGACCTGGAGGACATGGTTGATGGTGAGAACACTTCCACACAAGAAGCTGGGAAGCATAAAAAAGATGGGAAGGCTATGAGAAGGACATATTGGGTACAAGAGCAAAGTTTGAGACTTGCATTAACCCACTGTATCCAGAGAAACATCCGGGCGGTTTATATGACACAGTCAGTAAGAAGGTGATTACCTGTACTATGAGCGTAACCAAGAAGGTGTTCGACACTAACGAGACATTACGGATGCCCTTTCTCTTGAATATGCACTGGTGCCAACAGCCATGAGGATGGCAAAACTCGTCTTCCCTTAAAAATGTTTTACAAATGTGATCCCATGGCCTGAAGAAGGCACAGTCCGGGACTTCGTCGAAAACCTAAAAATCCGTGTTGGAGAACTGTGGAAGACAGGAGATGTAAAGGCCGATTGCTAGGCCTGTTTGTAGAATTAGTAGTCTTCTTTGGAAAGGTGATTTCGGGACATAACACCATTGTAAGAATCTGACAGTTTCTTCCTGAGAGATAGTTCACTTTTTCCACTGCATGTCAGTAACCAGGCCCTAGGAACCCAAGTCACTGAGCTTAGGTGGTAAGTAATATTAGTAGTCTGTGTTTGATGTAGGACCTCGATACCATATTGGGAGGTTCGAAATAAACAAAGGTTAGAAAAATAACTTTAGATCTATTCACAAGTAAAAGTAAATATAAACGCTCAGTATCACTGGTGTATGTCTAGTCACACACAAAAGACAGTCATGACAATATTGCCTATGAGAGAACTCGTTATACAACACGAGTACTATATCGTATAGAGATCGGAGCCCGAATGATCCTGCTCGTGGGAGCCTCAAAATGGCGTCCCTCGCATCTCAGTCACTACAAAAAGATATGACGTACTGTGATGTCTGATAGAACATTAGAGAACATTTACGGGGTCTCTATGTATGTGTGTAAATCT